GTATCTTCTGTCTATGTAAAGAATTAAAGTGAATAAAGCACAGACAAGTGAAGTCAAGAATTTTATTTGTGTACAATTTAAATGGTGTTTGTGAAGAAACAACAATGAACGTGTGAATAAGTGAATAAACTAGGGTGTTTTCTAAAGCACTTGTTGGAAGTGAAAATGCTCTGTCAACCAGGACCTCTTAATGACATGCTCTTCTGGGCACTAAGGAATTGTGGACATCTCTTGGCTCCTTCTACTGGGTCCTGATGTGCTGCTCCTAAGAATGCCCTGGCTGCCATTTTCACCTGGTAAGGTGCCAGGGGAAAGACCAGCTGCTCATATTTAGACTTTTGCAGCTATGACTCCCATATCCAATTCTGGCTCCTTTCCCCTATTTCCTGTACCCTCGGAAAGAAGGATGTTGGGTATACATGCCCTGCTCCAGCCTTCCATCAGACGCCACCCTTGGCTCATACCCCTTTTGCTGCCATCTGCTTGGAGACATAGAGTATAATAAAAGAGCTCCTATTTATTGAGTGCCTGCTGTGAGCTAAGTATTTACATGTCTAATTTCAAATTTTCACATGATCCTAGAAGGATGCTATCAGACCCATTTTTATAGCTCTGGAAAGGAACACTCAGAAAAGTTAAAAAAGCTCTCCAAAGTAATTTGATGCGGTGATTATATTTGGGCCTTTCCTCTTTTCCATCAGTGGGAGACACTTTCTCCTTCCTTGGAGAAATCTGTGAGCAGTCTTTGATTGACTCTTCGCTTTCCATAGCAGCCCTCCCTGGAGAGCTGCTCTTCCCTTCATCCCAGGCTGCTGTCCTGAATTTCCCACAGTGATTTGGCCCTGACGTTGAATTTTCTGGCTTCTTGTCTGTTAGACTCAATTGATATCTTAAAATATCTGATTAGTGCTTGGTAGTGTTGGCAGGTTAGCATCATATTTTTACAAAAGGGAAGTATATTTTAACACAAGTTTCTGAATCCACTCATTGGGAGAGCATATTTTTCCCATGTTAAACAGAAAAACTGGACAAAGAAATGACCACCTGTTAGCTGCTAATGATGTTCACATGCTTTTAAAAAAAGTAATTCTGGCTTTATCTGCTTACAATCTTGGCGACAAAACTCGTGGGAACATCAAGGGCACAGGAAGCCAAAGGCAGCAAACAGACAATACAGTTTGTGCTTGGGCTACTAATAAGAAAGAAGTTACTGTGAATCTCTGCGTCCACATAATCATTTAATCTCCAGAAAGTGACTTAAAGCTGAATATATTCTTTTCAAAACCTAAGTGTGCGGGTACGTGTTCAAACCTAAAACATAGATCAGAAGAGTTTCACACATGGTATTTCCTACCAGAAAAAAAATATTTTAAAAAGCATCAAATATAAAATATGCTAAGCACTATTTCAAACCCATGGTCTAATTTGATATTGTGTGGGTGGGTCAATCATTATGTCTTGCAAGTGAAAATGAATACATACATACTGATTGAACTTAACTTTGCATAATACAAAGATATTAACTGTGTCCTACCTTGTAAAAAGTACTACAGTTTGATGTCAGTTTCCTGATGAGGATTAAATTTTTATTTTTTAGCATACATCAATTCAATTTCAGGTTTGAAATAGGCTATCTTTTACCTGTTCACTTAAGTATTATGTAATGATTAAAAGAAGAGTTTACAAAAGCAGATTGCTTGAGTGTGATGTGCCTCATTGCATATTCCCATCGTCTTGTATATCTTGGTTTCTGTGTCTAAAATAGGGCTAAAAATGTTCGAAATGTCAGTGGATTGGTGAGAGTGTTCAGAGTCGGTATAAGTACTTAGAAAAACATCTGGAATGCAGTAGGTACACACTAGTTTTTGAGGAGTTATCATTAGTTTTAACTTAAAAGTCATTGTACAATTGCATAGATTTTGATTTGAATACAATAAATACAAGTCTCTTCCCTTATCTTTAGGCAGAATTGAAATTGGTCTCAAAGTAAATAAATGATTGTCTTTCTCAATGAAAAAAAATAGTAAAGAGAAGGAATGGGTATTCCACGCATAAAATTTTTTCCAGGGATCATTCTAAAACTTTTAGTGTGTAACTAGTCCTCAGTAGAGGACCTAATAGCCTCAGTTTCTCAAACACGCATTTGCAAACCTTAGTTTTTTCCACCACTTCAGGCTTTAGAAGCATGCCAAGGTCTCTTCTGCAATTGCTTGGCCTTCAGATCTGTAATCACTGCAGTATAAAACTTGTGTATTTACTACAAAATATTTATATACTTAACATTAAACATATATCAAGAGCTGAATTCCACTCCTGTAATCTTACTTTATTTTTGATACCATGTGAAACAACGGGGAAAACAATCGGGAATTGAAGGAAAACTATACTGAAATGAAATAGGTCCAAATAAAATGTTTTAAAAGGCATTGCTAAGTCTCCACCAATGCGCTGTGTACTTTATCAGCATAAGCAGTGACAATCTTAAACTTCAGCATTGCACAACTGGTTAAATTAATCAGTGTATGGAAGTTGTAAGACACTGTGGCCTGGGCCCTCAAATAATGTCTTCCTTTCATAAACAAGGTCTACTCTAAGTTCTTGTGTGATTTTTAGATTATGGGTCTAATAATCCAGTTTTGGAAGATATATTATCATATAATCACAACTTCCTTCTTCCTTGCTACATATGTAAGCTTGTATGTGTACATCTTTCCTAATGACACGTGTGTTAAAATAAATATAATCATCTAGCATACATTTTATCTGCAAGTGCATATGTTTATATTCACTTAGCATCCATTCTTAACTTACTGACTTGTCTTTACATTTCAAAAGCTAGGTAACTGCGTTCAGTTTTAAGCAGAGGAAAATGGCTGAAAACAGCTAGGTCCAAGAAAGAGACTATAATTCTTAAGACTGAAAAATTGGTTTCTCTGATTTCAAGGCTATCCATTTATTCTTTCTGAAGTCTAGGACTCAATTCAATTATATGAGATACATGTAACATGTTTTAATAGTCCCCTTTTGTTGAAGAAGAAGTAGGCCAGGAAAATAGCTTTTGAAATGTTCATGATCACTATGTAAGCAGAATAAGGTCTTTTTACTCCAAATTCAATTGTTTTAGTGCAGAACTCAGTGTAACCTTGGAAAACACCTAATTCATATCTGACTTCCTCTTTAGAAATGCACAGTTCTGGAATGTGCATTTCTAAATCTTTCTGGTGGTCTAAAAGTCTGCAAAGTTGCATAGGATGTTGACTTAGTTGGGCCAACTGTGGTGGTCACTCATGTCTTTAATGTGTGGAAATCAAATGGTCAGCATACCAAGGACTGGAGATGTTTGACATTTCCCACTCTCAAAATCAATCACCAATCTGAACTCCATGGCTATTACTCAGAGAGTCCAAGGTTTGCTGTAAGCAGAGACCATGACCTTGAAACAATTATTTTCTCAAAAGACATTAGCAACAATGATGTGAGCAGAGTGCCCAGACTGCCCTCCAGTGCATGAATCCCTGGTCAGGAAATGGCTACGAATCTTCCGGAGTAGTATGACTTTGGCTTATATCTCACTTCATGCATTTATATTTCATAAGCACTGCATTTAGACAGAGATAAAACGAGTAAGTCAAAGAAATACTTACTTAAAGATTTTCGGTGCTCCGGTTTCTGTTCTTTTAGATCAATGTTGTAGTGACTTAGCAGTTCAGTACTGGAGGATCTCTGGAGTTTGAATAATTCCAGGTTTCTTGATGGGCAACTTGTATCTTTTGGCTAGAAATAAACGTTGGCTTGAATGATTTTACTAAGAAAGGATTCACCAAATAATTTTGTGTTTTATTTTGCTGTTAAATTTAAGTGGGTTTTTTGAAATAAGATGATTGGAATAAGAGTTTATACTAAGCAGTGCTTACTAAGTAATGAATTACTCTAAGATTGCATGTGTATCAACTCAGTTAATCCTCATAGGGACTCTGCAGGGTCAACAGGTAGGCAACATTATTATTACTGAAGAAACCGAGACCGAAAAACAAACATGTACTTTGCCCAAGTTTATGTAGCTGGTAAATAATAGGGCCTCTATTTGAACTCCAGTGTTCTGGTTCCACAGTCCGTATTTAAAGGTAATAATCTATGTGTTTGTCATGTTATATATAGGGATTGTATTGATGATATGAAAAGATTAACTTATTTTAATTTTTAGAGTTACCTCCTAAAATATATAATGAAAGACTGATCTTATACTATTCTAAAAACTCCCAAGAATATTTTCCTGGAGTTGGAGAGGTCGCTCAGCAGTTGAGAGTACTGGTTGCTCTTACAGAGGACCCAGGTTTGATTCCCAGCACCCACATGGTAGCTAACAAGAGTCTATAACTCCAGTTCTAGGGGAAATCAACACCCTCTTCTAACCTCTGCAGACATTGCATGACATGGATGCAACTAATTACATGCAGGTAACACATTCATACACATAAAATAAAAATAATAAAATATTTAAAAAATTTTCTTTAAGATTTTATAATTGTTAATGAATTGAAATTAGAGTCAATAAGAAACTGTTTTAAATAATTTGAATTTTAATCACATATTCTGGATATGTGATTAAGTTAATTTCCTGAAGTTCTAGATATGTAATTTTCATGAGAGGAACATTCTGGCTTAGCTGGAAAATAATAAAATCAGTACAAATGATTTTTGTTTGCTGGTATTATAACAACAAGTATGTTCATAAATACATTGATATTTGCTTTAAAGAATATGTATTAGAGGTCTCATAAACTGAAAATGAAAAAAGGCAGTAGTTATTAAGTGCTTGCATGCTTTTTACAACCTCTAGTAAATGAATGTCCATGTTATTCCAGAATAAGAGCACTGAATTTTTGAAAGAGAGAAATAAATGGCAATTAGTTCTACAAATCGTATCTGAGGAAAAGGTTCTTTGTGGACTGTATTTCAACTTAAAATAAGTAATATCTTGCATCCTATCTGATCCATTTAAATACTTGTGTATCATAGACTGGAGCAGTAAAATTTAAACAACTCCCTTTTAATTAATAAATGTAATATCCCAAACAAATACATACCAATCTGTCAATTGTATTTTTGATAGCTTGGAACCAATCCAATATGATGAAATCAATATCTGACTGTAGAAGGAACTCATTTCCTGATACGGTTGTGATCTGGGGGAGAAATTGACAGGTCAGAAAACCATGTGTGATAGATTTCTAACATTAAAAAAATTCCATTCAAAAAACAAGCTTATTACACGGATGTATTTCCTTGTATTCTAGTAATTGTCTTTCTGGGAACTGAGAAGACTTTGGTTATTTTGAACTTCTCTCTATAAACTGTTCTTCATGTCATAACAAATACATGATTGTTTTTTAATAATAGAACGATTAATTCAGAGCAGATCTGAAGCTAAATTGCTCCAGCTTCAAAAGAAATAAGACAGGAAGTTGAGAAAGGTACAGACAGCACACTATGAAGTTAGTAGTCAGAAAAAAATGCACTCCAGTGTGTCAAAGTCATACTGTGCTTTTGGCTCTTTCCTGTTGGTCTTTTTCAAATGTGATAGTATCTCTATATTTGATTTCCTTTTATGTAGGGCTCCAAAATTGATTGCTTACCATAGAGACTAATGTGGACTTTTGCAAAAGGTCATTCAGATTAATAACTTTGCCTGTTTCTATCTTCCTATGGTAAAGCTCTATAAGAAAGCAATACAAGACCAATATCCTCAGAAAGGAAGTATACTAGAATCAAAGTTCATTTACACATTTGAACCTCTGCTAGAAAGTATTTATCAGATGAAACATTCAGTTTCTTGACTTTCAGTTCTGTTAAGTAATTGGTAGTGCTTAACAGGTAGCTATCTAGTTTTCATTAGAGGGAATCTTTTTCTCCTCAGAACTGTGAGAGGATAGGACCATCTAGAAATGGAGGAATGCTCTTGATTTTACGCATAAAGGGATCCCTAGAAGAAAATTTGAGAACAGTGGGTGTGGACATGCTTTTCGTATGAGGCCATCAATCTGGACTGAAGATTTCCCTTTGTGTTATTGACTCTTTGTTGCAACAAGAAGATGAACATTTTTTTCAATTACACATTAAGACAGAGGATAGAACGTTAGAGGACTGGTGTTTCCAGATCCTCAGTCAGGAGTCAGCCACCTCTTCTCAGCTCTATGTGCTCTAATGTGGGGCAAATGCTGAAATGTGGTGCGGGTTTGGATAAGCACAAATCAAGTGACAGGCTTTCTTTATAATTCTAGCCCTAACATGACAGTGTTAACCCAAATTAGCTTATGCTGGGGATTTGAGTAATTTTTATGGTAACACTTAACAACAATGATCTTAAGATTTGTAAGAAATGTTCATTACACATGTATGTATGTATGTGTGCATATATATGTATATGAATTTGTTACTTACTGTCAAAAGCCCTTTAGAGAGATACAGTACTACTCAGGCCTGCACAGAAAGCATTCTTGAGTGTCCAGTGTCAAATTAGGTCCCTTCTCCAGTAAAGAGAGGTCACAGTGTATGCAATTATAATAAAGCAAATACTGGAAGATAAATGATTTAATTACCTACCCTGGAATCTGACAAAATCCTGGAGCCAATCACTTTTTCTCCCTCTTTTTGAATAAAACTACAAGTAAAATTTGAGATGGCTCAAAATAGCCCTGTTTCATGTGTCCGTGAAAAGAAAGCTAAGCTGATATTTGCCTAATTATCTGAATACCATTGCAATATTCTTTACTTACATAAAATCTCAAATATTTACTTTTTAAAATATTGCCTCAGAAGTTGAAATCTAAAAATATAAGGTCACTTGGAGCTAGCACAAGGAAATTAGCAAAGCCCTTAACTTCTACCTTCATCCTAAATTTAAATATTTTGATTATGAATGTATTATAAACATCACAATTTGTTATTATACATAAAGGAAAATGTATTAGCCTGAGCACAAAGCACGACCTACTATGATATTTTTCTGCCAGTATAAATAAAACACTATTAAAATTATAAAAGGACAACAGTTTAAAAGTACAAGAAACAAACATAATTAGATTTACTATATTCTGAGGGTTTACAAAAGAGTCAGCATAGTTCAGTGTGGAGCCTAGTAAATTCAAACAGTGGTAAACACAAGGACGTCAGTGTATTTGCATTTTTGGTGTACATTATGCAAGGAAAGAGATCTTTTACTGCTAAGACAACCAAGCATAAACTGTAACTTTAAAATGTCTTTGTCCAAATATATTTCTGTATTAATCATACATAATCAGTAATTTATAAATTTATTTTGGGTGCTGGAAGAAGGACCTATATGAATGTGATTTGTTTGAATCCTCCATCAGAGACATCCTGTTCACATCCTCCCCTCGGTCTTCTCACAAATCTTTGCGTTCTTAGGCAGTCTGGAGAAGACTGCTGCTGCTCTCTACAGTTTAAATGCATCCATTTCTTAATTACAGTCAGTAATTGACTTTGTTCTGCTCCATCCCAGACACTCACAGGAAAGTAGTTTCCAAATGTCTAACTGGTAAAGTCCATTTAATTCAGCTTTCCAAATCCACTTTTTTTACATTATTACCTCTTAAGGATTTCTGATAAGTGGTTTGCTGAATCATATTTGCACTTTGAGCAATTGAATTTTCAACACTCTTGGGGGAAAAAAGGACATCAGTAAAGAAGGTTAGCTTTGACTAAACCTTTTGATTGAACAACATGTGATGCCAATCTAAAGAGGTGTACAACTAATAATGGGCAGAAGTAGTCTTCTCTTAAGCTACGCTAATGTACCCCTGCTACATCACGGTCTGCCTGTTTGACAGATGCTGACATTAAACAATAAAGGCAGAACTTACAAAAAACATGCTCAGCCTAGATAAAAGCTTCTTGTTACCATTTTGTTTAGATGCCCACTTTAGCCAAAGTCTAAGGAAATTCTCCATCTCCACCAGGCTGTGTTCTGGGGGATGTTGGAAAACAACAAAATAGACTTAGCTATCTATTAAAAATATATCTTTAAAAATATTTTATTTATTATTTTTGCTTTATGTGTATCAGTGTATTGCCTGCATATATGAAAGCACACTCATGTCACGCAACACCTGTTGAAGTCAGAAGAGGGCATTGGATCCTCTGTAACTGGAGTTATAAATTGTTGTTAAACACCATGTGGGTGCTGGGAACGGAACCCCAGTCCTCTGCAAGGGCAGCCAGTGCTCTTGAGTGCTCAGCCATCTTTCCAACCCCCAAAATGAATATCTAGGTAGCTTTTCACTCTGAGTATAGGTCTATCTCAATTTTTGGTAGTAAAAAAAAAATTATGTCACAAAATTATATAAGCATTCCCACCAACCTACATGCAGAGTAGATGACTTCTGAGGGCTTTTGGCATTTATGCAATGGCAGTTTCTCATTGGCTTGGAACTTTGGTCTGTGTCCTTAAGGTTCCTCCAAAGATGGAGGCAAGTGTATCCAAATTCTAAACTAGGAGATGTAGAAAGAAGATAACTGTTTTTTCCTCTTCTAATTAAATTGAATATTGTTATGTTAATTGAAAACATCTTAAAAGAATGGTGCTGTAATTTAAGGAATAATATGTGTATCTCAAGTATTATCCTTTCCAATGTTTTCAAGTATCACTCTTGCCAGAAATCATTGTGGCAGGCCTTTAAAAAGAGAAAAAGAACAACACAGAACGTGAAATGGGGGATAGTACGATGGGAGTGGACTCAGTGGAGGGAGTCTAAATATGATCAAAGTACTTTGGATTAAATTCTTGGAGAATAAATAATTTTTTAGAAGAACAAAAAACAAAAAATATAAAAAAGAATAACAAATGTTTGAGACAATAGGCTTACTTTGATTTAACTACGACACAATATGGACATATGTCAAAACGTTACATGATACCCCTGAAACAAATAAAAGTTTTATATATTAGTTAAGATATAAAATCAATTTTTATGTCAAAATTGTACTTTAATCTGAATAAGAAACTAATATTTAGGATGTCATATATCTTGTACATAACATTTTTCTATAGTTTTATTTATTAGGATAGAAATGAAATGTTTTTAAACCTTCACTTTTTTCTCACTGTCAAAATAATATAGATTTATTGTGGTGTATAGGAAAAATAAAAATAATAAAGAATCAAGTTCAAACTGTTCATTGCTATACAGATACAACATTGAAGACATTTGAATTTAGCCATTGCCAGTCTTCCATATATAATAATTATACTAATAGGATAATGATGAATGGATAAGTTGATGTATGGATAGATGCCCCATCAGTAAACTATATTTAATGGATAAATACTTCTGACGTCTGCTTTTCCAATTGAACCCAAATAACTCATGGGAAGATTAGCAAAGACACAAGAGAATCATTTTGCTACCGTCTCTCTGACGTACCACCTTTGTAGTTACAGAACAAATGCCACAAATGATTCTGTAATCAGGACTGAGAGGGTGTGTTCATGATCCATCACATGTCATTCATTAAAGGACTGATAAAGCATTCATTAAGTACACAGTGGAGTGCGTGAAGTTAGGGATATGCATACCGCCCTCAGAACCTGCCATCTGTTTGGCTAGATGGGACGTACGTGTATATGGATAAATAACAATAGAAAATGGTTTGTCTGAGTCTCAGTGTGAGCTGCAACAATGCACATGTCAAGGAGGGAGTGATTACTGCAGGCACATTTACACCATGGAATTATATGTAACTTTTGGCTGTGATATTTATAATAGGTTGATAGTATCAGAACTTTAGAATATTAAGGATACAAATAGTACCACTTGGTATGCAAAGTGCTATCAGCTCTAATGATCTCAAAGCACATATAATAAACATTCTACAAATGCAGTTTCCTTCCACTATCATAAAGCAGTTTTGCAAATGAAGAAAATGAAGCAAGTGAAGAAAATGACAATACCATTCTATCAAATTGGCATCATTAAAATAATAGAATTAAGAGATTACAAAGATCTTGATTTCTAGGTTGCTAGTTCTAAGCACGCAGTACAGTTGCATCCCAACAAGGGCTCTGTGAGCATACTGCACAGAACCATGATGATTTCCCTTCAGTTATGAAATTTAGAATAGCAACCTTTACCAAGTTGTTTGCTTACTGTTATGGTAAAGATGGAGC